TCCTCATAGTACATCACTTCAATAGGACAGATGTTCAAACCAAACCAGAACAACAATAAAATGATCTAACTTCCCTCCAAGAGGGAAGCAGTTTCTCCCCTGGGAATGTCAGTCAGAGCCGACCGAGGAAGCTGGGCCAGGACAGGGTGCTGTGTTCTCCCTCAGGGCAACAACGCCATGTGCATGTGCAAGACGGTGAGCCTGGCAAAAGCCGGAGCAAGGAATCAAAGAGTCCACTTCCTCTCTTTGGGTCTGGCGGCCAACCCTCAGTCCATTCCAGACGGGCTTCTAAGCCACACACTGGGCCAGATGTGCGGCAGCTACCACAGCTCCTTCTGGGAGGGAAAAGTGACCCTGAGGCTAATTCTGAGGCCTCTTGAAATCCCTCAGTCTCAGAACTGGGGGAGATGGATCTGGCTTTGGATAAAGGTGATGAATATCATAAAAAAGGGGTGAAACTATTGGTTTTCAGTGACCAGACAGATCTTAGAGAAACGTACATATTTTTTTAAAAAGTCCAGTGGAATAAAAGCAAGAAATAAACAACATGCGCCTGAGGAACTTTTTAAAATGGCTAATCATGTGACTGTGCAGGGGGTAAGGCGATTGCAGGAGGGCCAGGAGCTGACCCAGAGACCCCCAAGACAACATTATAAGTGGTTTTATACGTAGCTTTTGTTTGTTTTTAAAGATAATGGGCTGGAGAGGGGGCTGAGAAGGCTGGGCTCCTGCTTTGCATATATGAGTCCCGGTTCAACCCCTGGCACTGCATGGGTCTCTGTGCACTGCCAAGAATAGCCCAGAACACTGTGGGGTGTGACCTCCTCCCAAAAACCAAAAAGTAAAATAAAAACAGGATATCTATTATTAGGTTTTGAAGCTTTATATATGGATTTTTAAAGGATCTTTGGAGATTTATAGAAAACTACCAGAGATAACATTTGCAATTACCATTCAAATTCAGTGACTTTCTAAAAGTGAAAATATTAAGTTATGTTATGATTATTCTTATTTACACAAAACCAGCACCTTAACCCCTATACTATCTCTAGCACCATGAAAGCAGATTTTTTTTTTTTTAAGTTTTTGGGTCACACCTGGTGATGCTCAGGTACTACTCCTGGCAATGCCTGGGGGACTATATGGGGTGCAGGCAATTAAATCCAGATTGGCGGCACGCAAGGCAAGTGCCCTACCCACTGTACTCTCCAGCCTTCTGGAAGCAAAATTTTAACGACAACAGTATAAACAACGGAAAGAGAAACGCCGGTAACTCTTACTGATTTTGGTGGTGCTGGGGACTGAACCCAGGTCCTCACACATGCCAGTGTTCTACTGTTGAGCTACATCCCTAGTCTGCTCCAACAACTAATATTTTCAGGGCCATCAAGCACTCTGAAAACCCCCTAAAAGTGATGAACCTAAACACCCCCCAAGAAAAGTGCACATAAACAATACTTAATGTATTATTTTGAGGATCCTTTAAAGTCCTTAAATGGTCCAAGGACCCAGTGAATAATTCATGACATATGAAATATCAACAGCCAATCTGTCCCTTTTTATTTTTAACAGGAGTGACACCCAGCAGTGTTGGGGGTGGGGGCAACGGGGGAATGCTGTAGCTGGGATCAAGCACAGGGCCTCATGCGTGCTGGGTATGTTCTCTGTCACTCACCAGCCCAGCCAATTCTGTTTGATCTATCTAATCATTTAATTTTGCAGTGTTGGGGGTGAATCTGGGGACTCATAAATACAAGGTGGGTGCTCTACCACTTGGCCACATTTCTGGTTCAGCCAATGTGTTCTTCAAATGAAGAGAACAGGACTAAATAAACGGGCATTAAAGTTCAAATTTCTATCAGACCAGCTAGTACCCCTCCGCATTCCCTGCCACCTCTTGCTCCCTCCATTAGAGCAAACGCAAAAGAACCATTAGTCTGTGGACCACTCACTTGCAGCGAGGGCCCAGCAACCAGTTAAAACAAATAAACTAGCAAAACAACCAAGACGTTTTGGGGAAGTAAAGAGCCTCTCAGAACACACATTCCAGCACACAGCGGGTGATGTCTTCAAGGACACCCTCCAGCTGTGCGTGTCCCCTCCCTGCAGAGGACACACCGGTCTCACTCCAGGCGTCCATGTCTCATTCCTCACTCAGAACTATAACCGAAAACAAAGAAATGCTATCCAATTAAGGACAGTCCTCCACATAGAAGAAAAAAACAATCCTGGAAAAAAGGACATCCAAGGGCAAGGGAGGGGAACACCCATACCTCCTTCACCAATAGGCATCCTCAGAGATACCCGATTAACAGACAGAAGTGCTACTGAGAGGTCAGACAGCATCAGACACGGTCCAAGGATATGAACTTGGAAAAGAACATGTACGAGGTCTTGGAAAACAGAACTGCCTAGAATAAACAATGAAAGATGAAGGGATACCAATGCAATTCCAGAAGAAGGGCTAGAGAGATTGTACAGCAGTTAAGGAACTCATCTTGTATACAGCCAGTCCCCTTTTTATCCCCCACTATGCACATACTGCTGGAAGCAGTCCCCAAGTACCACTAGTGCAAATCTCCCTGCACACCTGGCCCTTCCTTCACAAAAGAAAAGTAAAAAAGAAACTGTCCTGGAAAATCTCATCGCATGAGACTAAGGGATCCACTGACCCTCAATGACGCCTGGAGAATGGACGGCTCTGTCTACAACATTCCCTTTATTTGTGCAATATTAAAATAATTCAAATGAGGACTTGCTGCATTTGCAGGGCCTGAAAATATACTGGAGTTCCAGGTTAAAGATAAAAATTTATCACTAAAGCTAATACCATGCACATGTGAGACCCTGGTGCTATCCCTGGCATCAGAACCACTATCACCACAAAAAGATCTAAGACAAAGAGCATGTAGGTGTGGTCCCTGAGGCATCTAAGCATCGCAGGATGGCCCAAATAGTCCCTGCCACCGCTGAGCCTGTGCAGCATAGCATTCTCAGGCCTCTGCCTGAACCACTGGGATTGCTTGCAGAGACACATGAGGACGGACCTTGGGTCTACTGTGCACTGCTCCAAGACACCCTTGAAAAAAAACTGAGACTTCAGTGAACTTAAAATAGCTATGATACTTATTTCTAGTAATGAAAGACAAAGCTAAACTGAAATGGCTTGGGAAGAAGCACAAATTCCCCCTGTTCTGCGTCCCCCAACTCAAGGCTGTACTTCATGCGTGCAAACAAAATTTGAGATCATCACAGGCGTAACCAGACGGGCCATAACAAACCTCTGTATATAAACCATAAAATAACAAATGATTGTTATTTTGTAAAATCACTAATAGCTAATTTCTTATCTTTACGAGATAGAGATCAGAATTTTGCAAATAGTATCTGAGATTTGCTTGAAATTCAAACAGGCTGGACCACTGTAAGGGAGTGTTAATGAAGGGATGACCAGGCATTCATAATTATCTGCTCTTTTCTCCTACTTACACTTGAAAACATCTATAGTAAAACAAAAATTCAAAAGCAACCAACCAACAAATTTCCCTTGTCAAATATTTCAGCCAGACATGCAAATTATAGGAAAACAAACAGTTGGAGATGGTGGCAAATTCTCTCTCACAGGGCCAGATTTCCTGGAATTTCACTGATCAAATGTCACAACTAAGCAAACCGATTCTGATCAAGATCATATCACTTCCAGGACACATAACTGTTGTCATGTTCAGGGTGGTAGCCAAGAGGTAGTTGAATCAGAGCTTCATAGAATTCTAGTATGTGTGGTCAATGAATTTCTTAGCCAACCACTAATCACCAAAACGGAGGCTAATAAAGACACGCACAAAAGACCTAACTGCTGATGGTTTAAGAGGATGGAAAGAGAGAACCGCTATATAACACGACGTTCACCACTAATTAACACAACTTTTATGGAGAATAATTACCAGTATGTTTAGTGGGAAGGCTTACAGGCTTTGAGTCAAACACAGACATTAGTTCACAGCCACTTACCAGCTACATAAACTGCAACTGAATTAATTAACCTCATATTACTTTGCAGAAATGTGAGCCACATCACTGGCCTTTCCTTTACAACTAAAAGAGTGGTAACTGTCAAGAATCTTGGAAGAGGAATGTCTGACCACAGCCAATAGCTTCCATCAGACTTGTGAGAGACCTTGCACCAGAACCACCGCGTTCCTGTACTCCCAAGTTCCCAACGCTCAAAACAAAACTCTTAGACACAGACAATGGGTTGACAGTTATCACAGAGCAAAGGGTTGATCTGGAGAGGGCAAAACAGGAAAGTAAATGGGATCAACTGGATGGTCATAGAAACTAGACTTTTGAGGGGAATCATGTAATGTATACAGATGTCCAATTATAACACTGTATACCTGGAACTCACGGAAATGGTATGAAACAATGCCGCTGCAAATACTAACTGTATTAAGTCGGTACCTTTGCAGGCATTGTTAATGCATGGAATAGGTAACTAATACATATGCTAAGTGTGCCATTTGTCTTACATTTTGTAAATATAGCAGTTGAACCTCTCTGTCATGGAAAGTGAGTTACATAAGCAGACCCTTGAATCGTCCGAAGAGAGTGTTCAACGCTTTGTGTAACAGTAATCTGATTAGAAAGCAGGATATTATTTTTAGTACTGAATTCTGAACTCTGCTTTATGCAAGAGAATGGGGGACAGGATGGGAGAAAAACTGGGGACATTGGTGGAGAGGAAATGTGCACTTGTGAAACAATTAGTGTTGGGACATTGGCTGAAACTCACTCATGAACAACTTTGTAACAAGAGATTAAACTTTTAAAAAATTTAGGCAACAATTCAGACCAGTGAGTCACATGACTTAATACCCCTGCCCCCAATCTAAAATTGAGGCCTTACACTAGACCTCAATGCATATGGTACCTATATGTAGTGCTCTGCATCCACTCTACAGTTATACTTTAATACTAGTTTTAAAAGTACTCAAACATACCTGAATGAGACACTTGCTCACATCGCTAGCACAGAGTGCTTTGTTACAACTCAGTGACACAGGGACCCATGTCAGGAACACCAGGATGGCTAAAGTGAGCATAACAACACAGGATGACTTCATGTTTCTTCAAATAAGTAATTCTCAGGAAGCTAAATAAACAGAAAGAAAAAAAAGAAAAACTTTAAAGGCAAATACTAGAGTAAAAATTAATACACAAGTGAAAAGCAAAATAAGCCAAGATTTTTTTGTGTGCGTGTTAAAGACTTAAGTGTTCATTTAAAGATTATTCTTATGGCTGAGGAGTTGGCACAAGGATTAAAGCACTTGCCTTGCATGCCCCATTTGATCCCCTGCACTGCGTGGCCCCCAGGTGTCATAAGGAATCACTCCTTATTACAGAAGTAGGTATAGGCCCTGAACACCAATGGGTGTGCCATCCCCAATTAAATTTTAAAAAATAAGGATCATCCTCAATGAAAGATTGAGTACTCACAAAAGAAAACCCAAACTACAATTTTATATGATTATATCTTAGTCATCTTCAAAGATTTAGAGTACTGAAATGCCTCAAACACCCAGAAACACTAAGAAAATTAGTGAACATATGTATACAAATTACAAATACAGGTATTATGGTCTATGAAAATACCAGCAACACCCGAAAGTACATCAATAAGCAGATTTCAATATGGCTATGCCACTATTCAACTCTACTCCTACATCTACTACTACACAACTAAGGTCCATTAGAAAAAAAAAAGCCACTATTGGTACTGCATTATAGCTTAAAAATACTTAATGGGGGCTGGAGCAATAGTACAGCGGGTAGGGAGTTTGCCTTGCACTCAGCCGACCCAGGTTCGATTCCCTATAGTCCCCTGAGCACTGCCAGGAGTAATTCCCGAGTACAAAGCCAGAAGTAACCCTTGTGCATCGCCGGGTGTGAAACAAAAAGAAAAAAAAAACTTAATAGTATTTTAATTCTTAGCTTCAGAATGCACATCATTCGAGGGCTGGTGAGAGCTGAAGTTCATGTTCTGCACGCAGGAGGTCAGGTTCAATTCCTCGTCCCACAATGTCACCCCAAGCACTGCCTAAGATCAACCACCTCAGCAATGAGCCACGTGTAGGCCCTGAACAATCCTGTGTGGGCTAAAAACAAACAAAGCAAACTGCATGTTATTCTAGAGGGCACGATGTGGCTCAGCTGTGCCCTGGGTGAGAGCCCGGACTGCCTGTCGCCGCGGGGAGAGTGGCCCCGGCGCCCCCAGCACCAGGTTGCTGTCCCCAACCATTAAAAAAATGCATGGATCCTAGTGAGTTACTTATGGCTATTTCATCTTGCCTTGTAACATAATAACCGGAATAAAGCAGCTCAAAGAAAAGACTGTCATTTCTTAGTCACTGAGCATGTAACAAAGAAAGTAGTACATTAACTGCACTAAGAACTCTGATTAATTTATTAAAACGGGAAGACACTATTTTAATTTCATTGGTACCACAAATTATTCAAACATATTAAGATTCCAAAAGAAAAAGCTGCAAAAGACCTGCTCTCAGGATCGCAGCAGTTAAACAATCTGGTTATTATGAAAAGACACAAACTCTTGGGGTTAACACACCTCCTCCCCGCAAAGAAAACCAATTAAAAGAAAACAAACTGATGTAAGAAACGAAAGGTGGGCTAAGGCGCCTTTATGCTCATCACTATAAACGGGTTCGTCTTGCTATACCCAACAGAGAAGCGGCAACGAGCAAGCTCTGAGACGGTCTGGAGGGTGAGACCCCGGCGGTGCGCACGAGGCCCGGGTCCCGCGCCACAGACCAGCCCCGACCGCGCCCGGGACGCGGGCACCGCGGGCACCCACGAAGCGCCGGGAAACTGCCCTACCCAGCGCCGGCCCCCGCGGCCCCGAGAGCCCCCTGCAGCCCCCAGCCCCGGCGTCCCCGGGCAACAACGGCCGCCTGCGAGCCCCCAGCCCGCCCGGCCCCCTCCCCCCGGGCCCCGCGACCCCGCCCAGATCCCCGGCCCGGACCTCTGGAGCCCGCCTGGACCCCCGGAGCCAAGCCAGCCCGGCCCGGCCCAGCCCCGGCCCCCGCCCCGCCCCCACTCTGTCTCGTGGGCGGGGCCCGGGCGACGGCGGCGCCCACGACGCCCGCGGCCTCCACAGGCCGGGCCGGCCCTGCCGCGCGGCCTGGGCTCCTCCAGGCTCGCCGCAGCCGCCGCGCGCACAGCAGGCCGCGGCCCGCAGCAAACAGGCCCACCTGCTGCCTCTCGGCCGGCCGCTCCCCGCGCTCGAGTCCCGGCAGCCACCCAGCCGCGCCTCCAGGCGCCGCGCACTCCCCGCCGCTCGTCAGCACGCGACCCCGGCCGGCCCAGACCACGCCCCGAATCAGGCCACGCCCCAGCCCAGGCCACGCCCCGACTCAGGCCATGCTCCCCGCCCAGGTCACGCCCCCGAACGACTCAGGCCACGCCCCGGAACAGGACACGCCCGGCTCAGGTCACGCTCCGGCCGGCTCAGGCCACGCTCCCGGCCGGCCCGGACCACCACACCCCAGGCCCAGGCCACACACCAATACCAAGCCACGCCCATACTCGGGCCACGCCCCGCACAGGCTACGCCCCCGGTAGACCCAGACCACGCCCTAAATTCCGGCCACGCCTCTGGAGGCCCAGGTCACGCCCCCGACTCAGCCCACGTCCCAGGCCACGCCCCCTTATCCTTGCCACGCCCCAAGCCGCTCCTAGGACCCACCCTCCCCGGCCATACCCTCGTTTCCAGGGTATACCTGCCCAGACGCCCCAGAAAGTTTGCCTCGCAACTCTCTTAACTGTCCCCTCGCCTTCCATTCTTTTGTCCGCCAACCTTAAATTTCCACCTGATCCGTCGGCCAAGCCCATTTTCTGGGGCTCTTGGCAGCGCGTTCAAGGTTTATCTTGGGTAAAGGAACAGCCCCTTAGATCCCAATAGCACCCCTGCGCGGGAGCTGTTAATTGCTTAGGTTCTGCAGAAACAAGACAGGCACAGAATAGTTGAATAGACTATCTGGTTACACAGAAGAGCTGACACTTGAACTCTTGTTCTTTGATAGCGACAGGAAGATTTATTTGAAATGATTTTCCAGGATCTCCCTCAAATCTTCTGAATAAGAATGCCCACGAATGTCCAAGAATAAAGGCTCAGCAGTTCTCAAAAATCTGGTGTGGACAAGTGAATGAGTACAGAGCTCTGTCTATAGCATTGGAAATGGACGGCAGAAAGAGCCATGGGGCTGACCAGAAAGCTCATTCCCCTGAGGAGAGATGGACAGCAAGACAAACGGCTGCAGTGCACCTCTTTGCAGTCTTGGTAGTGCAGGGCGACCTAGGCATGTATTCATGTGCACTGTGGTTTAGTCTTCATACCAATAGCATGTAGAAAAAAGCCAATTGGAAAAAAAATTAAAAAGTCAATTGAGAATCAAACTGAGGTTTTCTCACAATCCTGGGAATGTGTATTTTCTTGATTTTTATTGTTTTGGGGACACACCTGGCAGTGCTCAAGGCTTACTCCTGGCTCTGTGCTGAGGGATTACTCTGCTGGTAGTGGTCAGGGACCATATGGGGTGCTAGGGTTTGAACCCTGGTTGGCCACGTGCAAGGCAAGCACCCTATCTGCTGTACTATCACTCTGATCCCAGAATTTGTGTTTTAAAAAGAGCCTAGGGGCCTGATAGCATAATGGGTAAGGCATTTGTCTTGCATGCTACTGACCCTGGCTCACCAACCACCACCAGGAATGGTCCCTGCACATAGAACTAGGAAGTAAGCTTTGAACATTGCCAGGTGTGGTCCCCACTAAAAAAAAAATAAATAAATAAAACCTAAACAAAGATTCTGGAGTCTGGAGAGATAGCATGGGATTTAAGATACTTGTCTTGCACCCTACCAACCCCAGTTAGAATATATGGCCGCCCAGCACCTAGGCATCATTCTTAAATACAGAGCCAGGAATAGTCTCTGAGTACTACCCAGTGTGACCCAACCCATATACTCCATAAAAGATTCCTGTGGTTCCATTGGTTGGAGTCCATGGGAACAGGTGATCACTGATCATCGAAGAACTTAACCCTTAGACATGGTTATCTCATTTTAAAGTATTAAGCTAGTAGAAACCTTAAATGGCTTATATTCCACTTTGAAAGAAAACAGACAAGAAGGTGTTTGAATTGAACTGAGGAGGGTGGCTAGCCTGAAGAGGTTATGCAGGCTTTGCATAAGGGAAGTCCAGATTCCATCCTGAGCACTGCCAGGAGTGAGCCAGGAATGACTGGGAATAGCCCTACCCCAGTCTAAAATCGACCAAACACACAAACAAATAAGGTGTTGATTGGTTGAGAGACTGAGCTGCATTATTGATGTTAGCACATTTTAATATGATGAATAAATAAGCATATGTTTAAATATTTAAGCATATCTCCCCTGATCCTGAAAGAGCCTCCAATGTGGCACTTGCTAAAATCTCAGGGCTAGGACGAATGGAAACGTTACTGATGCCTGCTTGAGGAAATTGATGAACAACTGGATGACAGTGATACAGTGACATGGTTTAAAAATAATCTCTACTCTTTCAGAAGAGTGATGGTAGATTAAACTCATTAGTACTATATTTTAACATTTTGCGTCTTTTGCATGGAATAGTTAAATTAAAACACTCTAAAAGGCTTTCGAAATATTATCTACACACTAGTCTCTGGTTATCATAAATGATAAGAACTAACATCGTCTTAGAACTTGTATAACTAATAATAGGATCAGCAATGAATGGTCTATACAGCAACTTTGTTCATTAAACAGTTCATTTACCAAATTTTATGCTTCATAGAAATGTTCTTTCTGCCTAATAGATCCTGTCATCAATTGAGCAAGTAACTTGTTATGCAGAACAGTAGATGAAGGACAACCATGCGAGCAAGCCGGGTTCCGCAAAGGATTCAGCACCATCGACCATATCCACACGATAACCAAGCTCATTGAGGTTTCTCGGGAGTTCAAGATGCCGCTCTGTTTAACGTTCATTGATTTAAAGAAGGCCTTTGATTCTGTTGAGACGGAAGCGGTCATTGAAGCCCTAGCCAATCAGGGCATTCAAGCCCAACACATCAGGATCCTCCGTGAGCTGTATTGCGGATTCACTACCAGGATCTCACCATTCTACAAAGAAGTGATCGTTGACGTCAAGAGAGGGGTGCAGCAGGGTGATACCATTTCACCGAAACTCTTCAGTGCCACCCTCGAGAACATCATGCGACGACTGGAATGGGAAGGAATGGGAGTGAAGATAGATGGTCGGCAACTACACCACCTCCGCTTTCCTGATGACATTGTTTTAATAACACCAAACATCCGCCAAGCGGCACAAATGCTGGCCGACTTTGACCGTGAGTGTGGAAAGGTAGGACTACAGCTGAATCTTACGAAGACAATGTTTATGAGAAACAGCCTCGTTCCTGATGCCCCATTCGCTCTCAATGGAACGACCATCTCCGAATGCAACAGCTATGTGTACCTAGGTCGAGAGGTCAACATGACAAATGACCTGGCACCCGAGCTGCGCAGGAGGAAGAGAGCGGCTTGGAATGCCTTCAAGAACGTCGAAGAAATAGCTAAGAGGACGAAGAACCTCCGGCTCCGGGCACATCTCTTTGATTCCACTGTTCTTCCTGCATTAACATATGCCTCAGAGACCTGGGCCCTACGCAAACAAGATGAGAACGCTATTCAGGTCTCCCAAAGAAGAATAGAAAGAGCTATGCTTGGAATATCACGTTTCACTCAAATGAGAGAAAGAATCCGGAGTTCTGACATCCGTCGACGATCAAGGATCAGGGACGCTGTCTCATTTGCCAAGGTGTCGAAAATCAGATGGGCTGGTCACGTAATGAGATTTAAAGATGACCACTGGACTAGAGCTGTTACCGACTGGATTCCACGGGATGTCAAAAGACCGCGTGGCCGCCCACCTACCAGATGGTCAGACTTCTTCGTCAAGATCATGAACGATCGGTTTGAGGCTCTTCATGTTCCCAGAGCGAACAGATGCCATTGGGCTACACTAGCACGCGACAGGGACAAATGGAGACGTTACTGGCGCCCGCTCGAGCAACTCGACGACTAACGGGAAGTTAAGTGATTAAGTGATTAAATGATTCTGAGTGTTGATCTGTAATAAAAATCTATACTTCTGAAAATATGTTTCCTTAAAAAAATAATAATCTCTGACAATTATCCTTATAGAAATGAGTGCACAGGGGGTATGGTGCTGCGAGCAAGTCAACCTGTACCTGTGGGGTGAGTACATCAGCAGCCTGATGGTGCCTTCAGACTTCCTGATACCCCAAAATTGCTGCTGTGCCTCTGGCCAGACCTCAACAACTTGGGGCCAAGTTTACCAAGAAATTAAACGGCCAAATTTAGGTATGTGGGAGCCACACCCACAAACCACCTCAGGCTCAGCTATATAAGCTCATTTATTGGCTTTATTTCAGAGAACCATAAATCTCGAAAGAGATCAAAATACGCATTTAGGACTGGTGGCGTGGAGAAATGTGGGTGAGCAGCTGCACCCTGCAGGGCATATGCCAATAGTTTACTTTTCTGGAAAAGATGGAAACAAGGGCCATGATCCAAAGACACACAAAGGAATCTCCTAACCAAGGAGCTTGCTGCAGAGATGCCTCCAGACTTTAAGCCAGGCCAACTTCACTGGGGTGCCTCAGACAGGGGCAGATGTCATCCCTCCCCCTGTCCCCTAAAAACCCTAGCAGCCGCCAGCTTCCAGAACCCAATGAGAAGTACAGGCTGTCTTCACCGGGGCCCTTCGGAGGGAGGAGAGTTGAGTTTCCCTCCCTGCCCCAAGCAGAACCCTAAGCCGAAAACCTTCAGAACCCAACCATTGCCATGCTAAAGGCTGCTCTCCACACACTCAGATGAGCCTCACCCAAGAGGGGACGAGCCCCACCCAAGACGGGATGAGCCTTACCAAAGAGCAGACCAGCAAAAACCCAGGTAAGCGGGAATCCGTGACTGAGATCTCCAAGCCCGCTTGGATCCAGACTGGGTCTCTTCCCCCCAGGTCCCTAGTTTTCCAGAAGCGTGGTAGTCACACCCACAGACTGGCCCTGGCACCATGCAATCTCATCAATGGCCAAGACCCAGAGATATAGAAAAAATCTCCTGGAAGAGAATAACACAGCATTTTCTGGACATTGCACTCTATCCATAACAAGCAATACAAAACAAATCGTCTAGTGTTGCCTTTTCAGCAGTTTTGAGTAATGGTCGGACTGGTGTCAAAATATTGAATGTAACCAAAGTAGAGAGTGTGGGGGAAATTGTCTGCTACACA